ACATTCCTCCCCCTCCTCCCCAGGACATGGGGCAAGGTCTGGAGACATGATTAGCTGTCCCAGCAATGGGGGAAGGACGGCGTGTGTTACTGGCTTCTAGTGGGCAGAGGCCAGGGATGCTGCCAATCATCTTGCAAAGCCGCAGGAAGCCCCAAGAGCAAAGACTTACTATTGGCAGTTAGAGCTGCCAATAGTGCTGAGATTGAGAAACCCTGCTCACCATTGGCCCTTCTCATAAGCTTGTTGAACACCCCCAAATCCTTCCTGGCATATTATGTACTGTCAGTTGATCACCATGGCATCTCTGGGAGACAGAGCACATCATTAAGTGTTTGGGTTTGAAGAGAAACTGGCGCCGTCTAGCAGACTTCGATGGTCAATCAGGGCAAACTCCAGCTCTCTGTTCGCGCCCGCAAGGCTCTCTGGGTGGCATCAGACATGTTTGGAGGAAGCAAAGGCTAGGACCTGAGCAATCTCCCGGTTACTGTCCAGGCCAGTCCTCACACACCACAGGATCAACGCCTGTCCTTGCTGGCATCCTCTGTGATGCTGATTAGGTTTCAGACTGGGTTAAGAAAATTGGGTTTTACACCTAGTAGATTTTTCTAAAATTAAGTGCTCACATTCAAGAACACCTCCCCAAATGGGAGGTGACTTTCAGTTGCATTATATTTAATTGAAGGCATTTCTCAGAAGAAATGGAATAATAAAGAGTATCACCTGAAGGTCTACTAACCAAGCCCACAGCCAGGGGCTAAAATAAAAGGTTTCTAATGAAAAGGAAAGGAAGCACATTGCTCTCAACCCTGACTAGTCTTTAGTATTTTGCCTCCAGCACAAAGCATTTTACTGTTCATTATAATTTCTACGTAAGCAGGGAACTGAAAACAGTTTAACTTGGTAGAAAAATGGTTTTTCTCAAACCAGAGACAACTAATATGATACTAAACATCAGAATTTTTATTAGTGAGAGGCATTTAGGAGTCCAACTTTTCTAATCTTAGAACATACAGGATAAGGTTTTAAAAATCTTTAAACCTATACAATTCAAGGTATCTCATAATTTTAAATTCAAAGTGCATTTCCTTCATGCAACAAATATCTTTAATATAGACTTATATTTTATTAGGCAAATACAGAGCCCTTCAAACAGCTTGAAGAGACAGTCTCTCTCTGAAGACAATTTCCCTTTCTAAGCATCTGTGTCATGGAGGTCTGAGTAAGTGTAGAAAATAGAGAAAACTGTGCAAAGAGCAACAAAATTGTAAGAGAGAGGAATATCTTTTCATCTGACATAATTCAAACCACTTGTTTAATAGCATTAATCATCTTCTTTCAAAACAAATCAAAGAACGTTGCTTTATACTTCCCAAAGACATTCGTTTTGGATGAGTCAAAGTGGCCTCCAAAATACCATAATCGCTCACTTTTCGAATTGGCGAATTTAACCAAGAACTAGCTTTTGTAATCGTCTATTCTTTTGGCTCAACAGAAAATTTTGTCTGAATCTGAACATCATAGACTGATGTTTAACCATCTTATAGAAGAATCTACGTAAGCAGGGAACTGAAAACAGTTTAACTTTGAAATTTCAGGGCCCAATTTAATAGGAAGTAAAGTGAACAAAAGAAAGATGGGTCTCTTAGAAGCTGCTGAAATTGAGGTTAGCACAGAAATGAAACAAGCTCACAGATGTATCGAGGTGTGAAAACTCATTGCTCAAGTACCAGGGGCAGAATGGTGATGTCAAACAAAGATACTCAGTCACCCACCACCTCATCTGAGTTTTACAGACAAACTCAAATCCTCTCATTCTTCTTAAACTTACACTTTAATAATACAATCCTTACTGAAACAGAGGAAAATATATAACTTCAACCTACTAACAGAGAGAAAACACTCATTTCTTGCTGTTAATATCCAACACAGAGTTCCCTGTGATTCTCATTATTTCCTGTGAATGTTTCTATTCTGAGATATTTTCTCCATGGTAGCAATCAGAATAGAGATCACAAAACTGAAGTACCTGTAGGGTTTAGGAAGGTAACACAAAGGGGTAAAGTGGGCTTAGGGGAGACTAGGGTGACTTGTAGAGATCAAACTCTGTCTAGAAAGAATGCCAGCTCTCAACTCAATGGCCAAAACACTGTTCCTGGCAGAAATGAGATTTCAGATCTTCAAATTTTCATGAGTTTTTTTTTTTTTAAAGAATATTTTATTGATTTTTAGAGAAACAATGATGTGAGAGCCCAACATCAGTCAGCTGCTTCCTACACCTTCCCCTCTACCCCCTCCCCCTGCCCGCGCGCCCCGCCCCCCCCCCCCCCCCCCCCACACACACACACACAACACTGGGGATTTGAGCCCACGATCTGGACATCCAACCAACAACCCTTTAATGCACAGGATGGCACCCAACCAACTGAGCAACACTGGCCAGGGCCATAAGCATAAACTCTTAACTAAAAAATTCCTAATTATTAAGCATTAGTAATTAATTTAAAGTTTTTTTTCTCATGGCTCTAGAATTTTATTTTTTTATTGAATTTATTGGGGTGACATTGGTTAATGAAATTATACAGACTTTAGATGTACAGTTCTAGAACAAATCATCTGTATATTGTATTGTGTGTTCACCACCTCCAAGTCAAGTCTCCTCCCATCACCATTTATCCCCCCTATGCCCTCCTCTACCTCCCCCCATCTTATCTACTAAGTCAAAAGTGTAAACAATACTTTGCTGGCTAAAGAAATCTTGCCCTGTGTGGTTGATTTCATCAGCCAATTTGCAACCTCAGTACTGGAAGAAAAAAGTAAGAAATGGCCAATTAAAGGATGTTATCAGGGTCCCACCCTTAAGTTGTTGGTGAATTCTTGGGTCTTTCTTTTTTTAAAAAAATATGTTTTTATTTATTTTTAGAGAGAGGAAGGGAGAGGGAGAGATAGATAGAAACTTCAATGAAAGAGAAACTTCATTAATTGGGTACCTCCTGTACGCCTCCCACTGGGGATCTAGTCTGCAATCTGGGCATGTGCCCTGATTGGGAATCAGACCAGTGACCTTTTGGTTCCTACATGGACACTCAACCACTGAACTACACTGGCCGGGTTCTTGGGTCTTTCTTAATCATAAAGAACTTTTTCCACATATGTAATACTTTCAACAATAAAAAGTTATTAAAAAAAGAAAAGAACTTTTTCTAAAAGCAAGACCACATCTAAAGTTCCTAACTTGAAATTTCAGGGCTTTTTAAGTTTCAAAACATTCTGTCAGACATAAAGAACTGCAGAGCAAGAAGCTTTCTGTGTCAGAGGAAGGGAACAGTGGTCAAACACTTAAGATTCTGGTAAACCTGCCTCTTAAAGATGTGTTACTGTCTTAACCAGCTAGCTAATATTAATAATAGTTAAGGAGCAAAGGGGAGGCCTGACATTATAAGCATGGCCATCTGGGCAGCTTCACCAGGAAGCTGCAACTTCACACTCCCCAGGGAACCACAGGTCCATGCCCTGCAGATTACTTGGGGGAGGGGTCCAACAAAGTGGGGATAGGCGCATGTGCAGTGAAGTCTGGGTCACATAGGGAGGATGCTTGCCTGTCAGTCTGACCTGGGAATAAAGATAATTGCCTAGGGGGTGGAGCCACTGCAAGTGTGCGATATCTTGGAAGGTCAAATCCCCCAGGCAAAGGAGTTCTTGCTCTCTTGTTCCTTTCGCTTTGCTCCTGTTTCCTTACACTCGCTGGTGCTCCCTCCATAGCCAGGTGGCTCTAGAACAGGGGTGGGCAAACTTTTTGACTCGAGGGCCACAATGGGTTCTTAAACTGGACCGGAGGGCCGGAACAAAAGCATGGATGGAGTGTTTGTGTGAACTAATATAAATTCAAAGTAAACATCATTACATAAAAGGGTATGGTCTTTTATTTCAATAGTTTTATTCATTTCAAACGGCCGGATTCGGCCCGCGGGCTGTAGTTTGCCCCCACGGCTGCTCTAGAAGCTACATGGCCCATGGCCATCTGGACCCCACATACAATGGACTGCAGCTGGGAACACAGGCTAACCTGACCAGATGCTGGACTGGACGCTGTAAAGGGCAGCAGAAACTCTGGGCACTGGCTTTGATCCTTGCCCGGCTGAAGACAAAATGGGACTTTCCCATGGTGGGACAGCGGGAGTTGGGACCTTGGAAACTCAGGGGTTTAATTCCACAGAAATAAAGCTTCCCATAGATACCTCATCCTCCCGTGGGGGCTTCAGGAAACTGTTATTCCAGCGCCACCCCAAGAAGCCCACTTCCACTGACAACAGGCCGGGACACGGACAGCACCTCACTGATAACAGATGCAGAGAGAAGATCATGGAAATATCTATCCGAAAGCAGGGGCTTCTCAGCCAACACTGAGGCTGGTGGAAGAGAAAATTCCAAGGACCGAGAAATGCAAAGCAGAGGCTGTACATCACTGGGAAAAATGCAGTGACAGAAAAAACCAAGTTCATCTCATCGAGCCAATAATATTTACAGCCTGTGGGTACTGCCAAAATATTTCAGGAAATGCCAATGTCTTTCTTTGTAAAGCAAGGCCAAGAGTAATATTTAAACACAGCACAAATAAATCACCGGGGGGAACAGGCGAATGAATCCACATTTCCTCACTCTGCTTTACAAAGGATCTTAACCTCAAGATTCACGGTCAAGGTAGAACTCCATTCCCTCTCTGAAATTAAAGATTCGCTATTTAATGTTCCAAAGCCAACATTTCTGAGAAGTTTTTGACCATTTTCTGTTAACAGTGAATGGCAATACGGAATGAATGAAAGTGACAGCTCACACGAGGGTCAGTTTCATTTCCCATTGCGGCCTCAGCCATCTCCAGCCCATGGAGCCCCAACCACTTCCCTGAATCAGCCAAGCCAACGCTTCCTTCAGAACTGGAATGAGGCAGGAAGGGCAAGACAAAGGCAAAAGGCAAACCACACTTTCCCTCCTCGGAGCGGTACCTGTTCAGGCTTCAGCCCAGGCGGGACCCAGGCGTACTCCTCCAAGGCGCAGCCCGAGTCGTCGTCCGAGGTCGAGTTCCTCTGGAAGTCAAACATGAGTTTGCTGACGGTCTTCTCCATCTCCAGGGGCATCACCGTCACCATGTGCTCCTCCTGAGGGCACTTGCAGTGCAGGCAGATCTTCCTGCAAGCAGCAAAGGCGGGAGGTGAGGGGAAGGCCAAAACCCCCATTTTTTTCCATTGGCCTGCCAGTCCCCAGCCCTTGGATCCCAAATTATATAAACACATTCCTTGGCAACTGTTCTTTGGCAAAAGCATCTAAGGGAGCAGAGCACAGCACGCCTGACTCTGTAGATGGCATGCAGCGCGCATGTGCAGACACCGTGGAAGGTCAGAGACCCCCACGTAAGCATGCTAAGGATGTTTAAACACGGACCCCAACCTTTCCTTCTAAATCAGTTCCCCAAGAGGAATGTCAAAATATTTTTTATTTTAGCAGGTATAACCCTGGAGAAAGACCATGACCACAATTTCCTTGACTGTAACAGTAATTAAATAGACATAATACATATGCTGACCAGAAATATTACCAGTAGACTTAACAAATGCGGACAACATACCATTTTTATAAAAGGTTCTTAGACCTTGGAAAATGAACGTGGTTTTAAAAAGAACTGCAGGTGAGATTTTTCTTTAAGAAGAGAAAAATATTTTCCCCATTAAACAAATCTGGGCCTACGATTTCACGAGAAAGGCATTTTCATTTCCACTAAAGATCCCTGTAGGTTTGAAATTTTAATTAGAAACCCAAATCTTCCCTAAATTGATTGTTTTTATAATATACAAAGGAATCATGCATGCGAATTCTTTCAAAAGGCAGCAGCCAATGATCAAAATCTCTTCTCCAAATTGAGCATTCCTCTTTATGTTTACATCTTTCCATTCTCCGTGGCTACACAAATGATGAAGCAATCAAAAGGTTCACTCAACAACACAAAAGCATGTCTAGCATCCATCAATATAACAGAAGAAAACAGTGAAGGAGGAAATTTTAATGAAAATAAGCTGTTATATGTATACTCTTATCTTTATGAATAGTTCCAGTAGCACCTTATAAAGGCAACAAAGAGTCCATCATCCTAACCCCACATGTGCCTGATTTTTTATTTATTTGGTGCCTGAATTTTTTGATAACAGCTTTGTTAAGATATAATTCATATGCCACAAAACTCACCATTTTAAAGTGGCTTTGATCCCAGACACTTCTACTAATTTGGGGATTTCAGTTACTTTTTTTTTCAGGGTTTCTTTATGGTAGAAAATATGGTGAACAGCAAGTAAGATGCCTTTTCTTGCTTTATTCACAGGATTAAATATCACCAATTAACTTCTTGCTGCAGAGAAATGGGAACTTTTATTTAATTAATTTATTTTACTTTATTTTAGAGAGAGGAAGAGGGGGAGAGAAGGGAGAGAGAAACGTTGACCTGTCATTCGGCTTTTAGTATGTTCACAGAGTTGTGGAACTGTCACTACTGTCTAATTTTAGAACATTTTCATCACCCCCAAAGAAGCCCTGTGCACTTAGCAGTCACTTCCCACATCCTGTTCCCCCAGGTCCTGACAACCACTAACCTATTTTCTGTTTCTATGGTTTTGCCTATTCTGGAAATTTCACATAAATGGAATCATACAATATGAAGATTTTTGAAACTGGCTTCTTTAATATAACATGATGCTTTGAAGGGTCATCTATGTTGTAGCATGTGTCAATCCTTCCTTGCTGTTTTATTGAAATATTCCACTGTATATTTTGTTTACCCATTTATCAGCTGGTGGGCATTTGGATTGTTTCCACTTTTTTTTCTTTTTTTAATATTTTATTGATTTTTTACAGAGAGGAAGGGAGAGGGATAGAGAGTTAGAAACATCGATGAGAGAGAAACATCGATCAGCTGCCTCTACTGGGGATGTGCTCACAACCAAGGTACATGCCCTTGACCGGAATCGAACCTGGGACCTTTGAGTCCGCAGGCTGACGCTCTATCCACTGAGCCAAACCGGTCAGGGCTGTTTCCACTTTTTGACCTTTGTGAATTAATGCTGCTCTGAATATCTATGGACACAATTTTGTGTGTGTGTGTGTGTGTGTGTGCACATATGTTTTCTATTCTCTTGGGTAGATACCCAGGAGTAGAATTGCTGGGTCATATGGTAACTTTAAGCTTAACAATTTGAGGAACTGGTAAACTTTTTTTCAAAAAATATATGTACCATTTTATATTCCTACCATCAATGAATGAGCGTTTCATTTTCTCTGCTTCCTCCCTATACTTGCTATTCTTTCTTTTTGATTATTGCCATCCTAGTGGGTTTGAAGTGGTATCTTACTGTGCTTTAGATGTGCTCTTTTTTTAATAGCTAATTATGTTGAGCATCTTTTTCTGTGCTTATTATATCTCTCCTTTGAAAAAATGTCTATTCAAATCCTTAGTCCATTTTTAAATTATTTGTCTTTTATTAAACTATAAACATTTTATATACATATTTTCTGGATACAAGTCTTTTATCAGGTAGTATATGATTTGCAAAAATTTTTCCTCATTATGTAGGTTTTCACTTTCTTGATGATGCCTGTTAAAGCACAATTTTAAAAAAAATTTTGATGAAGTCCAATTTATATTTGTTTTCTGTTGTTGCTTACACTTTAAGTATCATATCTACGAAACCATTGCCTGACTTAGGGTCATAAAGATTTACTCCTATATTTGAGCTAAGAATTTTATGGTTTTAGCTCTTATATGTGGATCTATGTTTCATTTTTTTGTTAATTTTCATATATGGCCTAAGGAAGGAGTCCAGGTTCATATCCCTGAGGCTATCCAACTGTCCCAGCACCATTTGTTAAAAGTCTATTCTTTCCCCACTGACGTGTCTTGGCATCCTTCTCAAAAATCAATTGATCATAAGTTTAAAGGTTTATTTCTGGTCTTTCCATTATTCCATTGATCTGTATGTCTATCCTTTTGCCAGTATTACACTGTCTTTATTACTGTCGCTTTGTAGTAAGTTTTGAAACTGCGAAGTGAGGGTCCTCCAACATTGTTCCCCTTTTCAAAGGTTGTTTTGATTCTTCTGCATCCCGGGCATTTGCATCATAAAATATAAATTTTAGGATAGTAGCTTGCCAATTTCTGCAAAATGGTCCTGCTGGGAGTTTGACAGGGGCTGCATTGAACCTGTACACTAATTTGGAAAATACTGCTATCTTAACAATAGTATGTCTTCCAATCCATGAACAAAGGATGTCTTTCCATTTACTTCAGTGTACTTTAATTTCCTTCAATGCTATTTTGTGGCTTTCTGTTATGCCTTGCACTTCCTGTGTTAAGTTTATTTTTAAGTAATGCATTCCTACTGATACCATTGTAAATGAAATTGTGTGCTTAGTTTCATTTTCTAGATTGTGACTATATAGAAACACAAGTGGTATTTGTGCATTGATGTTACATCATACCATCTTGCTGAACTTGCTTGTTAATTCTAAGAGAGTGTGTGTCTCCTTAGGATTCCCTGTAGCCCAGATCTGCGAGCAGAGACGGTCTTGTTCCTTCCTTTCCAGTCCGAGGTCTTTCTCTGTCCTAGTCTTGCCTCATTGCCTTGAGCACACGGGCGACTGGAAGTGGCATGTGTGGGCATCCTGGTCGGCTCCTGATCTTCAGGGAAAGCAGCCCGTCTCTCACCATCAAGTATGACTTAGCTGTGGGCTTTCTGTAGACGCCCTTTATCAAATTGAAGAGTTTCCTGCTACGCTAGTTTGTTGATTGTTGTTTTTATTCACAAAGGGTGTTGGGTTTTGAATGCGTTTTTAACATCCACCGAGGTGGCCAGTTGGTTTTTGTCCTTAATCTATTAATGTCGTGTGCCTGAATGTTGACACCCAAATGTTCCGAGGAAACAAAATCGGCTTAATCCAGTGAATTAGGCTTGTCGTGATCTCCCACGTCCTGCTTTTTGTCAGATGGAAAATACAGCAGACAGGATGCACACGCGGGTCTGGTTTGCATCTCCAAACTCAAAGATGTTTAATCCTCACCCTCGCTGTTCCTTTTAGAAACAGTCAGAGCTCATTGTAATAGTAACTCATTAATCAGCTACTTTAAAGAAGTCAGGGGTTTGGGGAAGTCGTCAGGTTTTTAATTTTTTTTTCCTCTTAAAATTTTTATGCCAGCTTATGACTTAAGAAAAAATGTTTTCGTGTACTGGTATTTAAGCAAATTTAGAAAGTTCTTTGGCAACTAACAGTTTTTACTGGAAAGTCATACTTTTAAAACAAAAGGTAGAGGATTTTTTAAAAATCAAATTCAGATTCTAGAATATTCCTCAGTGAAACTTATTCAGCAATGCAGGGAAGAGTACAATCTTTAATGCTGGACGGATGTGAGCTTCAGGAGAAGGGAAAAGATAAGGAGAGACAGGATTATGGAACCAGTTCCACAGCGAGTCTCACTGAGGAGAAGCGTGAGCACAAAAGGAAGGGGCGAGGCCGAGGGCCCCATTCAGTCTCTCATCAAATAACGGTCAAGCCCATACCATGTGCCAGGCACTGCATTAGGCTCTTGGGATGCCAACCAAAACACAGACCCCTGCCCTCGTAGACCCTACATTATTAGAAGCGACAAGCATACCATATGCAAGAAACATAACAGACTGCACACCAAGAAAGACAATCCCATCCCCACTTCCCAAAGGCTCAGAGAGGTTGAGCAATATGTTCAAAGTCAGCCCCAAACAGAGATTCAAAGGAGGATCTGATTCCTGAACAAAAACAGTTCCTTAGAGACAGCATCCCTGATTCCAAGAATACACTTTTTAAAAACAAACAAACACGTTTTTATTGATTTTTTTTAGAAAGAGCAAGAGAGAGGGAGAGATAGATAGAAACACCAATGGGAGAGAAACATGGATCGCTGCCTCCTGCACGCCCTCTACTGGAGATTGAGCCCATAACCCGGGCATGTACCCTGAGCGGGAATCAAAACAGTGAACTCCTGGTTCATAGGTCAGTGCTCAACCACTGAGCCACACTAGCCGGGCCAGAATAGGCTTTTACTCCTGAACAAAAACATTCAGAAAAATCAAAACCAGGCCCTGGCTGGGTAGCTCAGTTGTTCGAGCATCGCC